GTATTCTCATCCCAATTGACCCCTTTTTCGTTGTTATTTATACCTAAGACGTCCCCAATATCCCCAAAAACAACAGATTTTTACATGTATTTTTATTTAATCAAATACATTAAAACCAATAACAACTGAGACTTACCTTTAATATATATGCTGGTTCAAACACTAAATAACGTTTATAAATCATAGTCGTCTTCTATTATTATCAAATAAATAAAAGAGAGCAAAGTTTCTAGCACTAAAACAATTACCACCACAGGAAGTTAATTTGAAACGCGATTTTTTATAAGTTAGCAGCTATTATCATGCATATTCAGAGTTGTTTTGTGAACTTTCAACATTCTACTATTAAACTACAAAAAATGGAAGATTTTGCAACGAATATAAAACATATATTGAGCGTCGAAAGATTTTCCCGTTTTTTTCCCGATTCGCCTCTCAATCCCTAATCGCCCCATTTTACCGGTATGTACGTACCTACCTACCGGCTTTCCGTACCTACCATACCGTACATTCGTATTTCGTACATAATTCATTTCAATCTTCATTTCATTCATTCTGTTTGCATCAATAGAGTTGGTCGCGTCTTTGTTTTGCCAGTTTCGTACTGTCATGTTCAATCGTTGCCATAGTATTTTTAAAATCGAATTATAATTTAATACGCATTTAAGTTCAACAAAAAAAAAATGATTTTGTAATTAAAAATATGTTTTTTAAATAATTTATTACAGTAAACCAGTAACAGGCTCGAATCTCAGTGAAGATTAGTCTGCAGGTATTACATTATCTCATAACGCGGACATCTCGATGTCTGAATTGTCTGATAACCGAATTGCTTTAGTTTGTTCCGCCGTTTAATACGTAACAGTCGCTGGCTTCATAGTCGTGATGTGCCGATAACGTTCAACAAAGAACAGCATCAGTGATAATTCGTGAACTTTAAAAAGAACAGTTTTCATACTTATTGCGTTTTTTTTTTCGCGGCAAAATCATGGCGAGCTACGTGCCAGAATATTTGTCCAATTTTGTGGAAGAATTAGATGAACATCCGTGGATTTTCGCTTCGCTGGCGTCGATGCTGGTCGGTTTAAGCGGCATCTTACCGCTATTCATCATTCCACTGGATTCTTCAGCCACATTCGAAGATGGGCGTAAGTAACCAAGCGTATTTCATTGCGATATTTTTAGATTGTTCCGCTGGTCACTCATGTTGACACTTGATGCCAAAAGCCAATGTGCGCGTTGTTTATCGTTCCTATAAATTTCTACAAACAAAGAAACCTCGTGTTTTCATCCGGTCAGTGATGGAGCTTTGTCATGCACATGAAAATATCTTACAGAATAAAATAAATAAATCTTTTGAATTTGAAATAACAAAAATAAAACACCTAAGGAAACAAAGTATACATTTTTATGATGCAAATTTATTCTCACAAAATAATGAGACCATTGAACTGTCTGTAAAAAGAATTAAAAAAAATGTGTAACATATTAAAAATGCGGTTCAAGGACCAGATCTCATCAAATATTCAAGATTGCATCTGTTGCATGAATGTAAAAACTTATTAATATTTTATTAAAAGACCTACTATATAATTTAGTTCCTTGCTATGTCTTAGTGTGTTTTTTTTTAAATTTGATCTTTAACAGACTAGTAGTTGGTCCGTCTGATGTTAAAGAACTTCTAGAGTACACATTACACTGTGAATACTACTCTCAGGCAACATTAAAACCACCAGCACAATGTTTTCCCTTCACGCAATAGTTCATCACACTGGAATATTTGACTAATCGGCTTGCAGTAATAATAGGAACTCAGGGGTAGGTAGGAAAGTATATGAAGATGTTGCTACTTGTCAGACAACAAAGAAACAGACTGCTGATAACATGATTGCAAGTGCTCATTAATCTTTTGATAAACTACTCTAAACCTAAGGAATCTAAAAATTGAGAGCACTAAAATGTGTTTGTACCACTGGGCCATCTCATTCTATGGGTCTTGTAAAATGCTATGAAGGGATTCATTGGTTAACGAGCAGTAACATTCACCGGTTATTATATAAGCATACTACTTTGCACATCTGGTCGTAGAGCATATTGTAAGTCTGCATAGGTAGGTACCACCGTGCTGCCAACTATGAAGCAATCCGTTGTTCTGTTGATAGATAAAAAAAGCTTTTAAACTATACAAGTGGCTTTGTGCATGTTATATAGCCTATGCACGTATAATGTAATAAAATATTACTTGATGTTTTCTCATTGCTGATTCCATCCCAAGTGCAAATGGGCTGGTACAACTGGTGGTAGGACCTTTTGAGTTCGCACAGGTAGGTACCACTGCCCTGCCTATTTCTACCGTGAAACAGTAATACGTTTTGGTTTGAAGAGTGGGGCAGCCGTTGTAGTATACTGAGACCTTAGAACTTACATCTCAAGGTGGGTGGCACATTTACATTGTAAATGTCTATGGGCTCCAGTAATCACTTAGCACCAGGTGGGCTGTGAACTCTTCCACACATCTAAGCAATAAAAAAAACTATCTTACCTAACCCATGCTTTAGTCTGAAATGCAGTATTATATTCCCATAGAGATTTCTGCTTTTAGCCTTGAGGAGGCATTCATTAAGTCATTAAGTCTTTAACATAAGGAGGTAGATTAATTAGGTTTTTATATTTGTTACACAATATCATTACTTTGCATTGAAGTCATTTGTGTACGACATCTTAACTATATATTATGAATATCCTGTAGAATTTGAACATCAGTATAGATGCATTGCTCAATACAAGTACACTCTAAGTCATATCCTTTAGGCCATCATAATAATTTTAATGTGATTCTTTGACACTTTAATGTTTCATCAAAAAAGGTACTCTTAGAGTACACTATAAGGCTTAGTTCCTAACATGTGATCCTGTGCTTCCTATTGCTTATTTACAGTTGAAATGTTCTGATAAAGATTTTTTTAAACCATTCAAAAGCTTGTTTTGCTGATTCTTCTCAGTATTGTAACGGTGTCAACAAAATTGTTTTCATGAAGCAATAACTGTCAACGTTGAATTTATTGTTTGATAAAAGTTGTTATTGACTCTTGTGATATTGTAGCAGGTTATTGACATTGTATCCTGTTGACAGGAGACATGAGAAAGAATCATATTTGTTGTGTTCGCAAAACAATAATTTATACAAGTTTGAAAGACATATCCTGTTCTAACATGATTATCCATTTAATAACAATTCTCTAAATTATTTATTTATTGTTAAATTATTAATAATTTTCAATCCTATCTCAAGTTACAAAGCCTCATTTGATGATAAAAATGAACTAGTTCCAGTATATTTTGAATTTTGAAAAAATGACAGACAATATGTCCAGACCCTGAAGGTCAATAAAATCTGGAAGCAAATCCTTCCTGTTCCCTCAATATGTCTATTATATTTATGACATAAAACTACCGAAGTTAAGAAATATTACAGTAGTTATTACAGAAGATTTATTATAATTTTATTAAATAGTCAAGCTATATTGCATCGAATATTAGCTTCATAGTGGCCCTCGCCACGACAGGTTATTAATTATTAATAATATTTATTACGATGTTAACTACTCTGCACTACCTTTGGTTGACTGGTAGAGAATTCCTTAGGCATTAAGTCCGCCAATGTAAATTTTACATGAAGTGTAGTAAATAAATAAATAATATTGCAAGCATACCCGATCCTGTCGACCGAAAGGTAAACAGTCGACGTCGCCCTAAACACGTCATTACGGATCCTCCCGATCCATTAACGGTGCTTTCAGGTAGTACCCCAAGCACCGATCACCGTCCTCGTCGAACCCGTCGCTTGCAACAAAGGCTTCGGCGAGTAAATTAACCCATAGACACAGCCCATTGAGTTTCTCGCCGGATCTTCTCAGTGGGTCGCGTTTCCGATCCGGTGGTAGATTCTGCGAAGCACTGCTCTTACTAGGTTTTGTGTTAGCAACGTCGTTAGGTTTGAGCCCCGTGAGCTCACCTACATGCAAGGGCGGATCCAGCTTTGGCGCCAGGAGGGGGTCACATAGTCAAATTTAGTTGCGTTCGTTCCCAAACGTTTGCGATTATAGAAAATTATTATATTATATTAAATTAATTAAATATTGAAGCTATGTAGTTACATAAAACCTGTATGGTGACAAAATATATAAAAAAAATCATTATATTCAATTAGTGGTCCACCTAAGTTATGGACCCAGTTCAGGGGGTGGTCATGACCCCCATGACCCTCCCCCTGGATCCGCCATTGCCTACATGTTAGGGTGAAGCTGAAATAGCCTCTCAAGGCTATCAGCATAAGTAGGAAAATTAATATTGCAATTACTGAATTTCAATCTGTAAAAAGTCTCACACAAAAATTTCTGAATTCAGGCAATGTAATGAACTAAACCAGATATCTATTGAACCATTACGTGATTACGAAATCGTCTCGCTTTAGAAGTACGTTTACCAATCGATTGTCATCTTATAGAGGGATTTCGTATCGAAATGATAAAAGTATTTTTATCTAAAATTGAAACGGTTGCTCATGTTATTATAAAAATGATTTTCATTTTATCTGTATATTAATACGTGAAGCAAAGTTTTTGTATCCGTGACGTGGCCCCCTAAGAGCTAGGGGTCCCACCCGTTTTGTGCGGGGAGAGACCCAGACGTGGGGTGGCGTGCTTTGCATGCTCACCCGCAGTAGGAAGCCGGGTGATGGTAGACCGCGTTCCCCCGACCGCTCTGGGGGAAGGTGTAACGCGGCGCCATCAAGGCGGGCTCTCGGCCCGCTGAACGAGGGAACCGGTGGTCGTGTCGCTGGCGGCCGCTGGTCCGGCGTCCGTGGGACGGTGGGATGGATGTAATGTGCTCTGCGTCAACCCTGTCCCGCCGTCTCAATAGCCCCGACGGCTCCGGCCCGGTCTGAGGTAGGGCGCCGGTTGTGAGCGGCAGGAGTTTTTAGTGAGGTTCAACTCCCACGTACCCCACCTGCCGCGCGGGTGGGGATCCGGCGATTTTCTCCTGTGGAAAAAAAAAACCCTTTTTACGAAAATTGCGCGGACGGAGGAGTATGAAATTTTCCATACTTATAGAGAATATAGAGAAGAAGTGCACAATGCTAAGATTTTTTTTAAATAATGCATAAAAGATACATTAAATCAATAAAGAAAACATTACACACACTACATACCATGTATTTGACGCACACACGCATGCAGACTATTTATTGTCAAACTTTTGTTCTTGACGTCTGTTGTCAAATCGAGATTAAATATTATTGTTTGTCTTTGTTAATATTTTTTATAGTGTAGTCTTGGCGAAATTTCTGAAGAAGTATAGAATACAATCATAATAGTGTACAAACTTACAATTCCAATTAATTATAGTCGAATTTCGACTACTGCGGGACCTCTAGTAACATTAAATATGTATCAGTGCTGCATTTAGAACTAGTCAAGAAGAAAATATCAGACAAAGTCATTTCACCTTACACTATTGAAAGAAAAATACAGGTTTACAAATTAGAAAAATACGGTTTTATCGGAATAGCCTTCTTAAAGGAAAATTTTACGTCAAGGATTTCCTTATCCACCTTCCAAATACTTAGACCAATTTCATCGTGTTATATTATTTAATTGTCATCATTAATACGCCTAAAGCAAGTTAGATATTTTGTTGGCAGCGGCTTGGCTCTGCCCCTGGTATTGCTGCTGTCCATGGGCGACGGTGACCACTCACCGTCTGGTGGGCCGTATGCTCGTATGCCTGCAAGAGCCATAAAAAAAAATGCCTTGCAATAATTCACGCATTCCTTAAAAATGCCAAGCGAAAATAAAATCGTTCGACAATAAGTTTTCGTAATTTACAAACATAAAAAAATGTTCAATATAAAAATAAAACAAGGTCTTTATTCTTTACTAGCTGACCCGGCAGACTTTGTAGTGCCTCAATCGATAAATAAAAGACCTAAGCTTTTGTATAAAATAAACTTAAAACAAACAAAACGAATCCGTCCGACGGAGGACACATCAAAGGGAAAACAAAATTGTTATTTCTATTTAATTAAAAGCATTTTCATATTTATCAACCTTTTAAACCTTCCTCTGGACTTCTACAAATAATTCAA